GTGGAACCGACCTTCGAATCTTTTCACCCAACACTTTCACTCGAAATGGAAGTAAGCTCAACAATTATGAGATAAGAGATTGCTCGAAACCCAACTTTTCCTCGTCGTAGAAAGCCTCGAGGCCACACTTCGTCCTCGTCTGACCTCCAAGCTTGTCGCTGTCTGTCCAGTGGCCGGGACACACAGTTACCACCCTCATTGTGGGCCGGTTTGCCGGTGTCTGTACCTGCGTTAGTGCGTGTTTGGATGCTGGCCCGACGGTGTGTGGCGTGCAAAAGGGAGATAAATTATTCATCTGCCTCGATTGAAGGCTCAGCCGCCGCCGTGGACATGGTTCGTCGGCGATTTCGTGCACATGCATCAGCTGTAAATATTTCAGACAAATCCACAAGAAGGCAAGCCTACATGCAAATTGGACCACCTGTCACGGCGGGATGCCGGTGAAGTGACGAAGAGCGCAATTTTGAAACGGCCGGAGAAGAGGTCAAAAAGAAGGGCTTGTATGAAACAGACAAGGAGAGACGTGAAAATATATGGGCCAAAATATGTCAGAATCCCAAACATCGTATTCTGCCCAAGTGGTCTTCGGTGTACCATTTTGCCGACAGCAACTAGCCGAAACTGACTAACACGATTACACCCCGTCCCGATGCAGAAAGTTACAAAGATGGACACTTTTGCATGCCGTCATGACTCAGTTTGCTGGGGCATACTTGTATGGGTTCACCACAGACGAAAAGGAGGCCGGATGCAGAGTTGTATGGCTAAAGCTGTTATCAACAGGAATTGTAGACGGTTTTGCGCAACAGTCAAGAGGTCGCCACCCAATTACTCATAATTAATGCGTACTCCAGCAAAGGCCGCTGTTAACTGTTTTCCGGGTGGGCCGGTATCAAAGAGGCTATCTCGAACCTGTTTTGGGGCACAGCACAACAGCCTGTGCGTGTCTGCCACAAACAAGCGGATGCAGATGACATTTTCTGAGGACGTGGCAAATGAGAAAGTATAGGCCAGGATTATGCAATTCCGAGGGTTGCCGGACATGCGCCAATGGGGCAACGATGCTAAAAGTTGGGCTTAGCGAAAGAGTTCGGTCTTTGCATCCTGCCGTGATGGTCATGCATATTTTGCAATTTGTTGGGGCTAAAACTGTCCGACGCATCTGTAGATGAGGCTGCTGAGTCACATGATTGATACGCATCACTTGAGAAAAGTAGGCGGCTAAACGATGCCATGATACCACCGGGCTAGAAACTAACTCCGATATGTCAATAAACTATTGCCTTAGCTGCACTATCGCCCAAACTTGGCTTCTCAGAAGGCGTCTTTAGCTGAGTTGATGACTTTACCGGCAACAATTTCGTTGGGTTTGCGGC